ACCACTTCTGAGCTAAGGAGCAATGAGGAGATCTTGCTAGAGTTGAATCCTCTTTTCCGATCTATGTTGCAGCAGTGATTTTCATGACTTGGAGAGTCATGTTGTATTGCTTGAAGCGCCAAGGAACCGCCAAGCAGACATGCTTTTAAACCGACGCTGGAGTGTGCATTGTGCCTCACGGTGCATAGGCGATCATAGGCGTGCACTCACTGGGTGGTATTCAGTAGCAGGAGAGATTTGAGTGCTTTTTCTGGGAGTACTCGCAGGACCAGTTGCAGTTGCCGTCAACTTGCACGTGTAGTAAGGATATCCATCTAGTCTCTACATGCAGGCATGGGGCTTGCTCAGGATAACTCAAACTAGGGAGTTTCCAAAAATGATCTCCCTGTATTCCCCAAGGACCCCACAATACCTAGGGTCCCAAGGGTACCTCGTTGAAGAGAAGCCCCCACATGGTGCATGCATCACGCTTCAGGTGGCTGGCCATCGCTGCCCTTCACGACCTGGGTGCCATGCCTTGCTGGCGCAGGTCTTCCAGTGGTACTAAAGGAGTTTGGTCAGCAATGGAAAACAAAATGGAAACTATCACATGATCGGGTCCCCAGTAATAATCAGCAAGTACAGGTGTTTCTCAGAACAACCCTATCAAACACACATATGGGACTACATCCCTGAGGCTCCCAACACCCCAGGCTGCATGGATGGGCTACATAGGTCAATAGCACCCCAAGTTAGGGCCTATGTGGAGCTGTCTTGCCTGTAACGCCCAGGATCTACTCTGCAAACCCCCAAGCAACGAAAACCGTCAATCAAGTTGAGTAGACAGAGAGAGGATCAGTGACAAGAAATCATATGTATGGTTGATCGATAACCCAGGGTACACTGAACTACTATGATTCTTCAGTGCAGGATACCGAGTCATGCAGAATTTTGCCCCTGAACGGTAGCTGAAAACAATCCCAAGGAGACCCCGCAACCCCCAGGTTTTCCCATGAAGCCCCAAATCCTCATTTAAAGAACCCCGCATCCTTGACGGCAGGGCTTCCAACGACAGGTCGACAGAGGTGCTTTGGCTGTGGATTTGTTTGCTTAGAGTTTAGAAGCCTCATGTTGAAGGATATTTGAGTTCAGACATTGAGTTTTTGGGGTATGATGCTTTGGCGGTCGAAGGGCTCAGACTTCGGATTCTGTTGGCTCATGCTCGAACTTAGACTAACTGGCTCCGCCAGCGGAGTTGCGAGATACTATCATCATTGGCAGCATGTACTTCTAGTTACTGTCCTGAAGTGGATAGAATCAAGCGAATGGTAAGCCCATGATGTGTCCCTGCATTCCTCACATTCCAACTATTTCATATTACTTGAGGAGGACCGCCACTACCCTAAGCCCTCAATCGTGAACCCAGTAGGGGTTCCCCTTCTACATCCCAGTCTCTTGTTATCCACACCTTTGGGAGTCCCAAGCAGTACTCTTGATTTGTGGATCCCCCCCAGGTTCTTTCTGCTTAAGAAGCACCGTGGCTTTAATCAGGACAGCCCTGCACGCGCGCACGAAGGCAAGTGGGAACTGCTGAGCCTGGGATGTGGGTCTTTTGGTTGACTTTCGGTTCTTGGGCTTGGGGATTTTCAGAAGAGCCGTTTGTGCAGTTCAAATTGTTGATGAGACAGACGTTGGCTACCAACTGGCTTTCATGATCTTTTTTTCGTCCATGTAGGCATCAAATGCTTTCCAGGGCCAACTTAGTAACTTAGTAGTTGGGCGTCATGCTTGTCCTTCATCGGCAGCTCCAAAGCATGCGCCCAGCGTTCATGTATCGCGTTCTCCTTTGGCGTGCCTGAGATGATGCGACAAGATGACTGCTTCATTCGAGGCTTTTGGTCGGGCTTCTGCGCTACATTCATGAAGCTGTCAGGTAGTTGAAGATCTGAACGACCTCACTGTTGTGGAGCTGCGCGAAAGACTGCGTCAACTGTCTCTTCCTGTGTCCTGGCAGGCATTCGCAAATAGGATATCTCAGAAGCAAGTCCTTTCTGGAGGCACCGTGACTTGGATCCAGTGTCTTTGCGGAGCATGAGGGGACGCGTGTGTAAAATACTCATCTACATACTTGTAATTACCCTTCAGTAGCCACAAGGTAGCAGCTAGCCGCTATTGTAATTTGTTGTTAGAGTAAAAAGGCTGCACGGCGACTTTTGAACATACAAAAGCCGGAATGAAATTAAGTACCACTTGAAGGAGATCGACGCACGAGCCACGTTGCCAGTTGGGTAGGTGGATGGGCAGGCGGATGGCCTGCTGCATAGGCGTTCAGTAGGTAGGCAGGTTGTGGAGCAGGTTTGGTTGGCAGATATCTGGAGGGGCTTGTTCTGACATGCTGCCCCAGCATCCGCTGGCAGGTTTATGGCCGGTCGGCGAAGACGAGCGTTGAACAGCAAACCTAACTTTAGCATTGGCATCCCACTCATAGCAGAATTCGCAGAGCGTTTGGCATTTGTAACTCGGACTGCCGACGAGCCTCCAAAAGGCTAGCGGAGTCAAGTCCAGAGGAGACAGCTTAGATGTGAACATGCCTTTATCTTCCGCTTCCCAAGTACGCTTACAACACACATTCATTCCCACTAGTCGCCTCCTTATTCAGCCCTCCCGACCCTCCAAGGAGGGTCCATAGTAAGGACCGCAATCTTAGCAACCAGTGCGACCATTGTTGTTATTGGTATGTGAGTAGTTGCGGCGGTGGCAATAAATGGGTTATTTCTTGCTACCGCCGCCATTACTCACGCATCAATAGCAAGAATGGTCGCGCTCCTTATTAAAATAGCGGTCCTCTCTATGGCAGGTCAAGAAGAAGCAAATGCTAGGTTAACACAAATGGCCGTAGTAGTCATATGAGGTTTTACTTCGAGTAGCAGACGCGTTTGAGATATAATATGGGCGAAGGGAATTAGTAGTAGCGGTAGCGGTTGGAGGAGTAGTCCTCCTTGTGACTCAGGCTGAGTATTATGTTCAATAGGGATAGTATAGTCCCAACTATATTGCAATTTTAAGTAAGATGATGTTTTCTCTTGGATGTAATGCTTTGAGAAGAGATTGCGTATAATTGTATTAGGTACAGCCTTCAACAACCTCATCCAGGTATCCGGAAAGAAGAGGGAGCTCATCGAGCGGATTCTGGCCTGTGCCTCAATGCGAAGAGCAAAGCTTCAGGGACAGTCTTTGGGGGCTGCGATCCTAGTCGTTATAAGAAAGGGTTTAGGGTTTAGCAGGGTTGTCTTGGTGGCCTGGGGAGGTCTACAGAGGTGGAATGCAGATGGAGGGAGGACACACTTAGAGGGTCAGAGGGACTTCGTAAGTAGGTCCAAGTAGGTGGACGATGGGAATCACCGGGGACCTTGCTTGTAGAGGTCATCAGTTGTGAATATACTTGCTAAGTCCCATTGATCCTCCAGCACCATTCCTGGGCTTGCGAGGAACAGGTCAACAAGCCGGGAACCTGTCTCAGGCCTCAGCGCCAGGGAGCAAGATGACCAGCCAATATGCCTGGAACCTGACCTTTCAAAAGATTGTCGGAATTCGGGCGACTTCCCCACACACTACTAGGAAGTGTTTGCTACGCGGATTCCTGAGCAAATTGGTTCCAGCTCCCAAGGCCGCGGAGACTGAAGAACGGTATCAGGACGAGCACCAGGCTGCAGAGGGTGACGAGCAAGCAGCGGGAGCCTTGCAAAATCTGAAGGTTTACAAAACTTAAGAGCCTCCGGCTCAGTCCGCCGACCCAGAGGCGGAGAAAGCACGAAAGCCTAAACGCGAAACCTTGAGGGTTTTCAGCGGCTGGCACGAGACCAATAG